CACCCGAGCCAGAACCAGAAGATGATGAGGACCCACCGCAGGCATTGTTGCCGCTGTTGTGCGAACATCTCTCACTTGCGTCTCTGGCACGTGCTCGCCTAGATTCCTCAGAGCGAGAAGCTCGAGAATGGGACCGGCTGGTTGGCGCTTACCTCTGTTTGCTGTGCCAATGGCTATGGGAAGAGCCTCTTGCCGTCAAGGATTTCTTGGATGCTGGAGGATTGAGTGTAGTGAGCATGATCGTTATGGTCGCAATGTAGCATCTACTGACCGCCGGAAAAGCTGGTCGAAGCGATCAACCAGACTGGCGAGACTGATTCGGTGGCTCCAGGGCTGTGTGCTTTCTTGTTGGGTGTCTGCTACGAATTTGATCGCGAGCCGGGAGAAATCACAAGGTAGGTTTGCTCGTACTTTCCCAAGGACCGACTCTCAGACCGCTATAGGACCACTATCTATCCTATCATCAACCGCCTTGGTGTCGAAACCTTAGTTGGTCGCATGACCCGACTGCGTGATGACGAGCGGTTCAAGGCCGTTGGCCCCGACCTGGTTGTTTTGCCTTTCTCGGGAGCAACACCGGCCCATGTCGCTGGCGTCAAGGGTGATTCCGAGAAAGAGAAACAAGGGGAGATATGGTTTGATTGGGCGTTCATTGACTTCTGGAAGTCGAACTATTGTAGGCAGCCCTCGATCAATTCCTGTGCGTCTCTGACAGATTGCAGACACTGTCCAGCGCAGCCTTTCCTCTCCTCCAGACCAGCTGGCATCATCTAACTCTGGTCCCAGTGCAGAGAGTGCTATGCTCATTGCCTCTCTTCGGGATGTCATCAAGAACCAGGCGCAGGAGATGGAGGCTCTGAAGCGGCAGCTGCAAGAGATGGAAGCTGCCCATGCTGTCCAAAAGGAGGAAGCCAAAGGTTCGGCTAGTGCCGGTGTCCAGGAGGTTAGCTGCTCTCAACCGCAGCCGGGTTTCCGAGGCTGATCAATTCTAGATCCAAGCACTGCAGTCCCAGCTCGCCAGTGCAAACGCCCAAGTTGCAGAGATATCGACCCGAGTTGCAGGGTTGACGGCTGACTTTGAATCGTCAGAAAGTAAGACAAGGGAGCTGGAGAAGGAGCAGGAAGATCTGCTTGTGTTGCTGGACGAAGTAAGCGCCAAACGCAAGACGGATAAAGCTAGAATGAGGGAAGCCGGGATGGATGTGTCGGAAGATGAGGCGGACGAGGACGAGGATGAGGACGAAGAGTGAGGCTCGCCTGTTGTATATCTGTTGTCGCCATGGATCGAGAATTTGTATTGCTCCGCTCGATCGATTCTGAGCTTGAGTCAAAGCAGATGGGAGTTTGAGGGCAGTGTTTGAGACGGGAAGGTCGGGAGTCGAACTGGGTGCATCTGAGGAATATACAATGACATAAACTGAGCCACGATCAAAGAAACGGATTCTCTCTCACACTCTCTGGGTCTTTGTGTGTCCTGATGTTACATGGTCCCAAGTGGCGCCCGACAAAGACCCTCTGTCAAGGACCTACATTCTTGCTTGGATTGTGCGCTTTGATGTGAACCGTATTAGGAAATGCCCGGGCTTTGTCTTGACCTTTCATGTCGGCTTGATCTCTTTGTCCACCTCAAAGCGCGCATCATGCTCAAGCTCTGTCCAAAGCGCGAGGGAGCTTGCTTTAAATCCGAAGGGAGGCAGTCGGCTCGATTCAGCGACGATCTCCGACGCCTTCCTTCGACCTGAAAGCCTCAGTATCCTCGTTATGGTCAACATCTTCTCTTACTCCTGGGCTCAGATCAGCTCCAAGTCCAAAAGAGCTAGAAAGATAGCGAAGGACAGGAAGAGGTGTCCGGATGTTGGACACTGCGTCTACCCAGTGTTACCAGCACGTCGGTCGGCCAGCTACAGGTCCGTGCTCGCCTCCAAGAAGTGCTCAACAAGAACGGTCTTAAAAGAGGTGAATACGCCCGGAATTACTTCTTGTGAACCACCAACCGATGATATGTGATTTAGACCCCTTTCGTACCACTCAAGCAGCGCCGCATATGCGAGAACTGGGGCATGCTGGAGCTAGACGACGAAGTCGAGCCGATCGTTGTCGGAGGAAACTTCTATACCTGGGATAAATCTCTTCCGCTCTCTTATACGCCGTTGCCTCCACCACCTCGCAAGCCGCTCAAGCGTAGTCAGCTCGAAAGAGTCCCAAGATATCACGAACGTGGAGTGTGCATGTGAGCTATCTTCTGCACTTATATGCCGCCGTTTCTGATTGTGGTAGGACTTGCTCGCCGGAGAGCGCACTTTCTTGTTCCAGTGTCCAGCTGAACGCAACAAGTGTCTGCGACCCATCATGGTTCGGCTATGGGGCTGATTTCGAGGATTTCGACACAGGAGTGAGACTACAAGACGCATCTGACTTCCCCCTGTTCCCTTGATTCTTTCCGTTTACAACGTCCCACTAGTAGTTTTGTAGCTACTCGCCGCACAAATCTAAAATTATCTAATCTGCTTTGCGCAATGGTATCAACCTGTCACAGGTCATACCTGCGTGACAGAACGCGCTGCAGACAATGATTGAGCACGCGGCGGGAGTTCCCGGAAACCTGTCTCAGTTTCTTGCCCGCTCTCTCCCATGGAATTTCACCCTCAGCGCCCTTTCGATCGAATCGATGCACATCCAAGACTTCATTCCTTGCAGGTCAAAAGCACCCCGATCAGCTATACAGTCCATACTTCATCGTTGCGTCGCCCGCCTCCGGCCACTTCCACGCAACAGTTTCCCACACATGCGTCCATTAGTTTTCGCCCGAACGCTCTCAGGGAGACGCCGGCTATCTTTCCGAGTCAAGTCTCAATTCTCGAGTGCGATGCAGACAATGCTGTCGAGCGGCACAATCGCTTTCACTCTCCTGCTGTCACTGCCAGTCTGACCGACGCCGACCAACATGTCTGGAATGGCTGTCACGCGGAGCAGCGTCCTGCATCTGTTTCGAGCTCTTTTGCGCCCTGTTATGTCTCTCTCCACTCCACCTCTGACTCGCGTTCTCCCCCCGATCAAAGAGCTCGACGCCGTCCGATTTCTATGATGAAAATGCTGAGAACATCAACCCCAATCAAGAAGACTCAAGCATTCACCCAATGCTGATCAAGAATAAATCCTGCGCAATGCCTGACTTTCGCTCGGCGAACATCCTCTGCGACTCGGGAGTCTCAGACGTTCCGGTGCCGAACGAGGAGGACGTTCTTGAGCTTGAGTCTGAGGAAGGCGAGGACGACGCGGGCGAGGGGGAGAGTCAAACCTCGGTGCTTGTTCCGATTGCGGCGCCGATTCCTCTGCCATATAATGCACGGAGTAAGGAGGTTCTGTCGTCATATATATATCATGATCTCGTCTCCAGTCCCACCACTGCTCGCAACGCAATCCCGTGCGAGCTTGTTTCAATTTGAATGCTGACTGCATACTGATTGACGTCTCACAGAATCAACGCTGGCCACAGATACGAGGCAATGGCCCGGTGCTGTCGAGCTGCCGTCGAGCGTGAGTGTTGTCCGTGCTTTCATCGTTCTTGAATGTTCCTGAGGTGTCGCGCAAGGATTCTGAGACGCGTCAATCTGGACATGCGAACCTGAACTTGAACCTGGAGTATGCTGGGCCGCCACAGTATCAGGAATACGACCGGGTAGCATGCAGTCAGACGGAAGTTTCGAAACCCCTGCGCATCAGGTCGATATCACCCGCAACGTTCATGGCCCTGACCGAACCTATTCTCATGGCCTGGTGGGATGACTGACGCCACGTCGGCTCGACGTGAGATCGTGCACTCTGAGACAACGTAGATATCAGTGTTTTCCATCAATATGCACGGCTGATCATGATTCTACTTCGTTCCGGAGCAAAACTGTTCTCGTTCAGTCCCCCACACAAGATATCAGTTCTTGGTATTGGAATTGCCGATTTCGAGTGCGTCATTTTACCGAGGTCAATCAGAGATTGGCGCATCGAACTGCCAGCGACATGATTTGATGATGGTCCACTCCAAAATGTGGATCATTGGATGCCTCGCCAAGGATCGCCGCTGTCCATGCTCGTTGGATACGGATCCATTACATAAGGCAGCCGGAGATGTTGCCCATTTCATAGCAGTTCATAGCACATGGCTGATGATGTGCATATGTTATAATCAGTAGAAACATACAGGAATGTGCAGTGGTGGGAATAAACGTTTTTCTCATACCGGAGAGTCTCCGGTGGTCGAACTGGTGCCCTGATCCCCACCTATTCGCATCTTTGCTAGTTTCCCATCGGCATCCTCGATCTCGATCTCGACTTCGCCAGCACCGATTGCAGCGTCCCCGTCACCGTCATTCACATCAGATTCGCCTTCGTTCACGCCGCCGGTATCCAGCTTCATCATCTGGACTAGCCATCGCGCACCCTCGTCCCAGCCCGCCAGCTCGGCTTCGCCCAGCGGAGAACGGCCAGCCGAGTTTTTGATGTCGATCAGGTCTAGTCCTGGTCCGGCGGGGACCTGCACGAGCTTCTTCATGATCTCGAGGTGCGAATTCAGCGCGGCCCAGTGCAGTGGTGTGGAATCGGCGTGGTTTTTGGCGGATAGGACGGACGGAGGGAGGATCGGAAGTAGGTAGTCGAGCACATCTAGGACGACGCTGTTAAAATCAGACACACTCAAGCGAGGTTGGGACAGGGATCGCAGGGTGAATGGACCGAACGTACCTGTGTGTCCGTTGCCGCAGAGCATGTGCAGCGCAGAGTTGCCATTGTCGTCGCGCACTTGGGCCGCCGATTCAGCACCAAAGGTGTCTACGAATGTCTTCACGTCGTCGAGGTCCCCATATCTGCATGATAGTAAAACTCTTCTTGCTCGTCTGTGGAGGGTGGCATCTTTTTCTAAGATCGGTTGATTCGATCAATCTTAGCCGATCGAAACTCGATGAGGCACCCGGGCCGGAGCCGCCCTGCGCAGCCCCTGCTCGGAGTGGCGACGTGCGTGTTTGAACGTCTTGTTTCGGACACGCGCTTGTTTCGCGATGATGCGATGCATGCTTTGCAAATTCTGTAGACTGGTCACGACCGCGAGCGAATGATCTCCTGTCATCCCTGGTTACGGAGCAAACGGACGAGTTTCAACTCGTGCGCACGTCCATCAATATCCACTACTTGCACCATCACTCATGTGCTCTCGCATAAGTATAACACATCGTCGGTGTCCCTGGGTATTCTCCCAGGCTGTTTGAGCTTCTCCCTTCCAGCTTCGTTCGTTCTATCTCTCCCCTTCTCGCCGGCTCGAGCTTTCAGTGCGCTGGCAACCACACGTCTTCCGTTGTACAATGTCCCACACCTCCCCCGCGACCTTTCTCGTATGGTCGATTATATCGTGCATCGTGAGTCTGCGCCGCCCTGGATCCCGTTATCGCGCTGACCCGCGCCCCAGCTCTTCACGTTCTTGGTGTTCCATCTCTGGTCCTTTGACCGCTTCAGGTGTCTGAAGTATGTACCTTCCTTCCCTCCGATCGTGTCCTGCGTGGATCCGTGCCAACTTCGAGGTCCGCAGGTGGAATAGTGGGCCGCAGACGGGAGCGTTCAAGAGGGTCATGACGGTGCGTCCCCACTATACGATGCATCCTGCTCTCTTACTTACAGACATTCGCTCCCATCTAGTACTCGTATCTATTGAGTATACCGTTGGTGATGACCTACTCCATCGGGTTCGCTATCATCAAGTACAAGCACGGTTTCATCGTGCACGACGGAGCCAGCGTGATCTCGATCTGCGGTAGTTGCCCGGGCTGACCGTTCGTCCGTCCGGCCAGTCATCCCGATGCCCTATCGCTGTGGACTGAAAGCGAACGCCGTGCTCTGTTCCCCCTGATGCTCGCATTCGCTATCGGCTGGAGCATGGAAATGTAAGTCGGTCTGATTCCGGCGCGCCATCTCTGATTGTGGGTTCCTCGCAGGATCACGCATTTGGAAGGTACAGATACACGGCCTTCTGCGTTCGGTCCGACATCCATGCTCAACTCTCCGCAGAGCTTTGCTTCTGGCTGTTCCTCGTCAACTCGGGCTCTGTGCAGCAGGACTGGTTCAAAAGCTGGTACTTCCGCACCTGGATTGTCGGCTCCCATCGCTGTCACGTACATGCCGCTGCTGACGATTCTGACGCGCTCCGACCCCCTGAAGGTTCGTGACCAGTGTGCCGAGTCGGCTAAAGGATGCGTCTGAACGGGAACTTAGTGTGAAGCGTACATATCTTGGGTGGCAGTCTTGGAAGTTTGTCCTTGACGCTCTGGTTCACGCCGGTTCTGTCAGTTTCTAACCCGTTAATGCTTGTGATCGTTCTCTTGCTGATACCGTTACAGCTGGGCTTTCCCCGCCTTCCTGTCCAGTCTGGTCTGTTCCCTTCCACCGATCTCGAATCGCCCGCAGGTCCTCACACTTGTTACAGAAATCTGAAGGGGTCGATGTGAACACATTGTCCGATTGACCAAATTCCACGACTAATGTATGCGCCTTCCTTTTCGGCCGCATACATTCTCACACCAACTCCGTCCGCAGCTGATTCGAGTCGTGTTCCGCTTTGTCCTTCGTCATCCCGCTCGTTATTTGGGAGCTGACGGCGTGAAAACTCACACCCATATCAACGAAAGCATGCTTTGGACTGGTCCGTGACCACAGTTCTCTGGTT